ATAAGTCTTACTCTTAAATAACTTTGTAGGAAAGCAGATTCAATTATTCTAAACCGGGGGAGGGGGATATCTGAAGCAAAACCTCTCCTAAAGCAGGCATCAACCAAATCTCTAGTAGGAGGACATTCTGTATTATAATTCCACTAGTGAGACTCCAAATCTTCTGATCCATCAGTGTAAAACACCTCATCTAGAGTACACTTTATTGATGAAATGGTTGAAAAGATTCTCAGCCACAAAATAGTATTTTCAATTGATCATTTAAATCAGGGGTGTCAAACTGTTGGCGCATGGGTCGTATGCATCATGGCAAAACTGCACCCACCCCATTGCCAGCAATGGAAAAAAAAATTTTGATATGTCACAACACCCCTGATTTAAATACTTGAATAATCAATACTTAGAACTTCCTGAATACAAATTCTAATCCATTGAAATGATATACTGTGATTATGTCTGGCTTCATGTTTATAAGTGAAAAAAAGTATATTAAAATTACAAGCCTCTCCCCATTAAGACAGTTAGCTGAACAGAATATAGTTAAGCAGCAGATAATCTGATCATAAATGACAACAAATGTAAGAATCCAAATTGTTACTGCAGATATAAATACACACCTGTGGAATCTTGTAAGTAGTTAATATTGTGGCCATCTGGATGCTATTTTCAACAGTGAAGCCTCCAATGACAGATAATAGATGTTTCTTATCACATTTGTAATTAGATGTATTCTTCTTCTTTGAGAACAATAGGTCCAGAACAGTCTCGTATGTTGTCTTTGAATCAAAAAGATTGTCAAAAATATGAAAACCCAAAGTGATATTGGACAGGAGTTCTGGATTCTTATCAATTTCATCAATTGCAAAAATCAGGGCAAGAATATGTTGATAATGTTTCATCTTTATTCTGTAATAATATCAACACTGAGCATGAAAAACTGACATTAGAAACAATGTATCATTGTTTCTAACCCACAGATAAAAAAGGCTGAATTTTTTCCCAGGAAAAGAGATGTTGACAATTCTGTTGTTACTGGAATAGAATTGCTCTAATCTGTGATTCTTAATCTAGCAGCCATGTGTTATCTTCCACCCATAACCCAGAAATTCTAGGAATATTACAATGCTGTTTATAAATTTGTGGAACTGCAATCCTCACAGACTGGGAAAGGATCTGTTCTACAAATTACGAGAGAGAAATATTTTTGGAGAGACTTTATTGCGAATTATATCTTATGCTGAAAGTTAATCATTGATTTTGGTGAGAGACTTCACTTAATGTAGCATTGCCTTATGTTGCTTCCACTGTTTTATTTTTTAGCTCGATTTGATGGAGAATACATTTGGGGGATGTTGAAAAATAGTAAGATAAACAAGAAAGTAATCAATGCAAAATATTCAAAGGTGATTTATTCCATAAGAAATATATATATATATATATATATATATATATATATATATATATATATATATATATATATAACTATGGAGTCTATGATATCTGTTTTCCAAATCTGCATGAATTAATATTGTGGAATAATTCAGAGATATTTAGCATATGCAGTATATGAAAAGTAGAACCTTTTTATGAATTGAAATTATAGGAGAGCTCAAGACAAAAGACACAAGCATTCTTGAATTTAGGCATGTGAGTGATGGTAGTGCAGCAGTTGCTATGTATAGATACATGCATAGAAAAATGCATAGAACAATCTTTAATGCTTTCCAGAAAATGCATATATAAACCCTGGAAAAATTCAGTGATAGTGATTTTTCTAGGGGACTTGTAACAGGAAAGAGGGAGAGAGACAAACTTTCATTGGTTGCTTCACAATGCTAGGATTCTGATTGTCTTCTTAGTTAAAAAAATAAACTTAATTAAAAATATAAATTTGCTTGTGGAGGTAAATTAAAAAGAAAAGTTTGCAGCATCACAGCAACATACATTGGCACCAGAAACAATTGAGAATGAGCTATCCCTAGACATATCACTGATAAAACTCTATATGAACCTCAGATGTTTAAAGCAACTGGGTAATTTCTGCATAACCCTAATTCACAGGCTTTACTAATGTTGTTGCTTCAAGAACCTGTTTCAACTTTAGTAGTTTAATCGATGACTGAGAATGGATACATCTTTCTTAGCTCCAGACATTTCCCATAACATCTAATAAATTTATTAGTATGATTGGTTGCACAGATAGCCACATGTTAAGACTCAATTTGTCATTTTTATCTACCTATTGAATCCTTCCCGAGGACCTGGTATTATATTTATTTATTTAAGTTTATAATAATAGTTTCAATGTAAGAAGTACTTTAAGAGAAAACTTACACAGAAGTGTCATATATCCAATTTGAAATTTCATTAAAATTGTGGAAATGAACTATAGGATAGATTAGAGAAAGAACACCTCCAATAATCACTTTTCCTGGTCTGTATATGTTCTCTTGCATATTTGTAGAATGACTACACTTTTTTGTTCCATTTGCACATGCAGGAGGAGGGAGCAGCAACTGTAACAGCAGCAGTAGCAACCACTGGAAGTTTCCATGCTTAACGATGCCACAGTTGGATAGTCTCATCTTTCGTCAAACAGAATGCTGCAATGTTCTCTACATCAGGCTTCCAAATTAGTCATAAATCTCTATTGCCCATAGCTCTGAATGTCAGCACAATAGGATTCAGAATTCATGTCTTTGTATTTTTAGCCTTGATTGTTATTGACTGCAAGAAAATAAATACATACTAGTGATTTCATTAATTACAGAGTAGATAAGTATCTCTCAGATGGCAAAGATCTTTCACATGGGTTACTATTAGCCATATTCTTCTTGACAGAATACTCTCTGAGACGCTGATTCAAATATTCAGATTTGAGGCATCAAATAGCACTCCTGCTAGGAAAGCTGTGCCCCATCCTGATGCGCAAGTGCTAAGCTTTGATGTCACCTCTGTCTGAAAAACACTACAGAAAGATAACATTCCGAAAGCAGCAGGCCTAGATAACATCCTTGCACATGTCCTCAAGGAATGTGCAGAGGAACTGGCTTGTGTTCTCACAGATATTTTCAATCTCTCATTGCAGCAGGCAGTGGTCCCATCGTGTTTTAAGATGGCCATCATCTTTTTAGGCCAGCATCTTCACCACTACCAAATTACTGCTTCAATTGTATTCAGATAACTTTGATTATTGATAGCTGATGCTGCAGATATGCTTCTGGGCATAGAAAATGTTGCTAGCAATCCATATCATGCCAAAAAAAGTCCACAATTACAGGCCTCAATGATTACCATCTGGTTGCACTGAGATCCACCATTTTGAAATGCTTTGAGAAGCTGATAAAGGACATTATTGTATCTAGCCTCCTGCCAGCATTTGGCCCGCTTCAGTTTGCCTACTGACTAAATCGCTCTACGGAGGGTGATATTTCTTCTGTTCTCCATCTGAGCTTGAAGCACTTAGAGGAAAGAAATACTCACATGTGTTTGTTGTGGTTGACTTCAGTTTGGTGTTTAACAGAATCATTCCCCAGCATCTAGCAGACAAACTGGGGCTTTTAGGCTTAAACTTTCCTTTGGGCAACTGGATTCTTGATTTTCTTACCAACAGGTCCCAATATGTGCGAGTTGGAACAAATACCTCTAATACCTTTTTCTTGAGCACAGGTTCTCCTTAAGTCCTCTGCTGTTCATCTGTTGACCCATGACTGTTGTGCTAGGTTTGTCACCAACCTTATGGTGAAGTTTGTGGTAAATATAACAGTAGTGGGCCTTATTCAAGATGACAATGAGGGTGCTTACCGCAAGGAGATTGAGGGTTTAGTGAACTGGTGTAAGGAAAACAGCCTATTTTAAATACTGGAAAAACCAAAGAGATCATTGTTGATTTCAGAAAAGGCAGGCACAGACACACTTTTCTGTGCATTAATGATTCACCTGTGGAGATGGTTACCAGCATCAAATTCCTGGGTGTGCAGCTAATGAGTAGGCTTGCTTGGTCGCTCAACAGTGAGAAACTGGTGAAGCGGGCTCAGCAGCGCCTGCAGTTTCTGTGTTGCATGAGAAAAGCATTTCTTCCTTCCCCTGTCCTGACCACTTTCTACAGGGGGACGATCGAGAGCATCCTGTCATACAGCATTACAGTCTGGTTTGGAGGCATCACTGCTTCAGACAGGAAGGTGATGCAGAGAGTGGTGAGAATGACTAAAAAGATCATTGACAGTTCCCTCCCTCCCACCCAGGACATAGAACAGAAGTGCTGCTTGAGCAGGGTCCGTAAGATTATCAGGGACACTACACATCCTCTTCACAACCTGTTTTCCTTGTTACCTTCTCGGAGGAGGCTTCATGGTAGCCATAGCAGAACATCCAGATTCAGCCATAGTTTCATTCCATAAAGCATTAACCTTGTGAACTCTCAAGCTTCCTCCTTCCATTATATATTCAAGATGGACAGTATTTAATATTTATTTGTTATGTATAAGTAAGGGTGTGGGTCTATACATACGTTATATATAGTATGCTTAGTTGTGTGTCATGTATGCGTTTCACTTTGAGAACGGGCAACTAAATTTCATTTTTGATGTGTGCCATTGTGCCCACAGTAAAAAAAAATAACAATAAAGGTTATGTCTTGTCTTGTCTTGTCTTATACAGTCTTTGATTTACAACTGATCACTTAGTGATCTTTTGAGTTACTCCTCAAAAAGTACTTATGATCCAGTTCTAATGGTCTGTTGGCTGTTCTTGGGTTGCATGCAAGTTCATCACTTGTTTTGTGTTGAGCCTGTTGTGAATCTAGTCATCCATACTAATACTTTCTGAGAATATCTTTCTCCCTAACACCTACTGACACTAGAATAAGTTCAGTGATTTTGATTTGTATCTTAAAGAAAGTCAGGACATCATTATCTTCTTGTTTTAAAGTTTAATTTGTTGTATAAAGAGTATTTGTTTTTAATAAAGTTTCTAAATCTTATTCAAATAAAGTCCTTATTTATTTGTTTGATAATATGTTTTAAAATTGACATTTTATTTTAATTGTTATCCATTTCAGAAAGCAATTTATCATTAAAAGGCATAGATGCGTACAAATCAGCTTGAGAATCAAATACTTTCTGTGTGTAAGTTATGACATTCAAACTCCTTGTGTAAATATTATTAGAGATACAATTTTATTAATTTTCACTCAGTACAGAATGTTCAACAAAATAAAATTAAAGAGAAGTAACTAGATGGGGAAACTGAAAAAAAAAGTGTTGTACACAAACCAATGTGTTATTTCTATACAACATTAGATCACAGTTACAAAAAGCCAGATTTTACCATGATATGATTCAGATTTTAACTTTTACATTTTATTGTGATGTGTACCAAGCACCTAGACTCACTATGAAGAATTCCCCACCCCCTTCTCTCTCTAACACCTGTCCCTTCCTGAGGAAAAACTGGGATTGTTCACTCCCAGAAGATCTGTCATGAGCTTGAGAAGGAACCTCTGTATTACTCAATCACGATTGAGGAAATATTTCTGTGGTTGTTGTGTTTTAGCTGCTTAAATCCTTGATTTAACTGCTGTGAAATCAGGTGACTCAATGTAGAAATATATAAGTATTTGATGAGTCAACACTGACAATATTTAAACAGTTCAAACAAGAAAATTGATGTGATCACTAAGATGTGCAAGTGCAATTCAGAAGTCTTGGATTCAAAGTACAGGAACTAATTGAGCCAATGACTCTCCCTCAGCGCAGCCTATTTCACAGCATTATTGCAATAAGAAGTGACAAAATGTTGTGTACTGTACAATTTACATGTGTTTAATTGATTCAGGCCATACTTTCCCTCTTAGATCAAATTCACAGAGATATAAAATAATCAGAGTTTTGTTTAAAGAATGAGAACTTTGGAGATAATACTTTCACATATTAAAAATGCAACTTTTTAATATTGGAAAAATTAATTGCATCTGCCCAAATTATAATGATACATCTGGTGCCAAACTGGAAAATAAATACCTGAACAATATTCAGTGATCTATGCAGATTTCAAGATAATATTACCTGTTTCATAATAAAGAAAACTGAATCTTAAGTATGAATTAAAAACAATTATTTAATTAGTACAGACCACCATATAATTGTAGACTCATTACCAAATAGAAAATTAATCAAATTCTGATATACTTTTTACCTATTATTTCAGAAATAGTAGATTTCCCAAAATAAAATTATACTTTGCTGCAAAGTTCATAGGTAGCCCAAATTTGGTTTTTCCAAGTTTTCCTCTGAGGCTGTTGAGGGAGTGAAGCCCCTAATCCATGATCAGCTTTTTTTCTGGAGTTTTGCCAGATTTCTGCCCAGGTTTTCTTCTCTACTCTACATATATCCTACAATATTACATCTATATCCTACAATTTCTCTACAACAAATAAATGTTTCTTCCTGTCTTTGTCTTTTTAATTTTTTCTTTCTTTTCTTTTACTTTTCTATATTCTAAATCTTAGTTTCAGTTAGTTTTCAATTGTCTTTTTATTAAAATCTTATTAAAGTTATTTAAAAACATGATGTAAAAATAGAATTATATGTACATTGTCTTTAAAACTATTCAAACTAAAATCTATTTTTATAACCAACATTTTTTCTTTAATGCCAATATAGTGTATGCTTAAATGCCTCCTTTACTTCTTTGTTCCTTAGTGTGTAAATAAAGGGATTCAGCAAGGGAGTTACAGCTGTGTTCAAAATGTTCACTAATTTGGTCATTTCTAAAGAGGTCCATTTAGAAGGCTTAACATAGAGAAAAATAGTGGAACCATACCAAATGATGACAACAGCAAGATGGGAGGAACATGTAGAAAATGCTTTTTGCTGCCCTTTGACTGAAGGAATACGCAGGATGGTAGAAATTATATAAATGTAGGAAAGTAGAGTTACAGCACAGGGTCCCAATATAACAAAGATGGATATAATAAAAGCTGCCATTTCAACATCATAAGTACTACTGCAAGCCAGAACTATCCAGGAATCAATGTTGCAATAGAAGTGATTAATCACATTGGGTCCACAGAAAGTCAATCTTGAGATCAGAAAAGTTGGCACAGAAATAATGATGAATCCACAGAGCCAAGAGCTAGCTGCTAGCATGCTAAATAAATGGAATCTCATGATGATGGTATAACGCAATGGATAACATATGGCCAAATATCGGTCGTAAGCCATGACAGATAGCAGAAAGTATTCTGTGCATCCCAAAGAAAAAACAAAGTACATCTGCATAATGCAGCCAATGGAAGAAATGGCTTTATTCCATCCAAGAATGGTGGCAAGGGCCTTTGGAACAGAGGCTGTTGTATACCACATTTCCAGAAAAGAGAGATTGCAAAGGAAGAAATACATGGGAGTATGGAGATGCTGATTTGAGATTATGAGAATGATGATGACAACATTTCCCAAAACTGTTAGAATGTACATGATAAGGAAGATAATAAAGACAAACATTTGTATATAATGAGATCCAGGGAAGCCAAGAAGAATGAATTCCATCACTTTTGTTTGATTTTCTGCTCCTTCATTGGTCTTTTCCATTTGTCCCATATTTGTCTTTGCTGAAATTGGGGGAAAGCATACTGTTTAGACTCTGGCTTCCTTACTTGAAATGGACCAATTTTATATTTTGTTTAGGTCTTCCCTAAGTCTGATTTCACCTTCATGATATTGCATTTAGAATATCTTTTAAAACCTTTAAAAAAAAAAACCTTGTTTCTGGAAATTTGAATACTGAGATCACATTCAACCTGCCGCTATGATAGTTTCCCTCATATATTCTATAGGTACAGTACTTCTACTATCTAAAATAAAAAAGATTATTCATGCTCAATCTCCTCAATAGATTTATGTTGCTCCACCACAGAAACCAATGGGAAAATATCATCAAATTTGATAAAGCTTATGGGACCTATTATTTTTAATTTAACATTGGTGATTCATTAAATTTTGGATTGGATCATTATCAAATACTTCATTTTAAGAGAAACCTACAATTGGCAGTTAAGTTATTTCTCATGGGGGCCACACTCTGCAAAGTGAGAAGACCATATTAAAAGTTGTAGTTTCAACTGTATGTAAGCTGTTGACACTAGTGCCATCAAATTATTTTTGGAGGCATTTATTTATTTAAAATATTTTATTGATTTTTAAGAATCTCAATCTTTAGTGCTTATTAAACAATGTGTTGTCTCGGTTCACATATTTGACATTAATGTCTTCAATATAAATCTGTTCAGTACTACACAATCTAGTATTTTTCCCTGATCCTCCTTTCTTTCCCATATTTTTTCTAATTCCCTCTCATTTTTGGTACTACTGATGTATACAAAGTTAGATATAAGCATCTTCATCATATTTTACTAATGTTATACAAATAACAAATCAATATCCTGTTTTTATTCTCTTGTTAAGGTTTAATTTCTCATCAGTATTTGAAATATCTTTGTCAGCCATGATTTTCTCAATAATAATTACATTTATATAGCTAAACATTTTATTCATACCAATCCTTCTCTTATTTTCATATTTCCCATATCAAATAATAAATAAATAAATAAATAAATAAAATGCTTTCTGTTCTTCTAATCTTATTCAAAAAAGTATTTAAACATATAATGCCCCCTCTAAAAGGTCAAATCTTCTGTTTTTTTAAATCTAACTCTCGCTTTCTTTCTTTGCCAAGTAGCTCTCCAAGCCAAAGCAATTAAATTGCCCAGGGATTTTTTTTCTTTTTTTAATGAAAGTTTGTTAGCATGAGGAAAACACTTTAGGTAGGATATTTTTTTTTGGGGGGGGGGATTTATATTCCTTAAGCAACTCCCACTTTCCTTCTCTCTCAATTTCTCTTTTCATTCCCTGTCTCCCAAGTTGTGAAACTTTCCCTAACAGCTCTATATTCCATTTTTTAAAAATCTTCTTCTTTGCCATCAGATATATTTTGAAGACTTAAAGGACAAAGGGTCTTTTTCATTTTCATTGTTATGGCTAAGTCTTGCAGTATTTTGTTTGTATATGGTCATTTATGTTTCCCTTATTTTATCTCTTCCATCTCTAAATCCATTTCCTCTGCTTCATCTTCTGATTTCTGGTTTATTTGTTCATGCTTTGTAGTTATTGTCTGGGAACTTTCTAGTTGTAGATTTAATTTGGAGATTTGCTCAATTATATTATCTAAATTGTTTTTAGTCTCATTATGGTTTCTTTTTATGTCATCTTTGTATTCAACAATTGTTTGGTGAATTAGTTGTAACATAGAGTATATTTCCTTCTGAAATGTGTTTGTTTTTTCTTGGGGCTTCATTCCTAGAGATCCTCTAGTTAGTATCACCAGTTTCAGTAAGAGTAGATCAATATTTCATCTAGCTTTCTGGTGTTTATATGTAGCCTTTATAATCCAATAGGTTCCAGAGTATAGGCCAAGTCCTGAAAGCAATATTTTATGGTGATGCTTTGCCTCAGCTATCAAAAATTGTCAGTCAGGTAAGGTTGTAATCCACAATGTTCAAAGTGTTCAAAATGTTCAACTCCCTAAAAACAGCTCAAAAGTCTCTCCCAGCCAGGTATAGACCAAAATCTTTTTTTTTTTTTTTTTGCTTTCTCTCCCACTAGCTCTTGAGATTAAAAGTCCAAGTTCAGTTGGTATTTATAATCCAAGAAGGTCAGGGTGATAAGTATGCCAAAATACTTTCCTTTATTGCCAGTTGTTCTCCCAAGCTAGGAGTCACCAATTAGCTAGGAAGCAAATTATAGTGCTATACACAAATCCATTACTAGATGTCATTCAAAATCCATTTTCCACTCTTAAGACAAATAATTGATTTCTTATATTTCCCCTCAATATTTCTCTCTTTTTAAAAGAGAAAATCTTAACAGTTATCTCAGTTCTCAAACTGTAGCTTTATGTTATTTCCATTCAGTATTGTATGTTTCTGCCCCCATAAAATTATAACACTGCTTCCATTCACATTCATAGGTTTTTTGCTTCTTGGGAGCCTTTCCAAGGAAATTCAGTTGTAAAATAATAAAGAAAGGATCAATATTCTCACCCAGTTCCAAACATGCTGTTTACGATGTGTTAATTGGTGCTTTTTCTTCTTCAGTTGTTAGCAGCTAATGCCAGCCACAGGAATGTAGCCAGTCTTTCCCCTGCCAGTTTGCAGGGTTTTCCTTGGATCGAACGGAAAGACCGCCACCTCTTCATGCTCAACAAGGCACCCCTCTTCTTCATCATCTCTTTGAGGCAACTTTATGCCCTTTTTAGAGCCCCCAGCAGGGTGATGCAAAACCAGAAATGAGGCATTTGGTTATTTTAATTTTTGTACTTGGTGGTTTTAGAGCATATATTAAGTAACAGTAGTAGAAATGATTTTTTAAGTGCTTCTAAAGTTTAAATGGGGAGGGGAGTGACAATAATGAAGATGGGGTAATAAACTTTGGTTGATCATTTGCAAATGGTCTTTGATGGCAAAGTTGAACATGAGAATCTTAGCCCCTTCTAGCCACACTTTCTTAGCTGAATTCCTGACAGTTCCTGAGAATTAAAAAAGAAATCAATGGTAGCTACCATTACCTGACTCTGGACTGTAGATTGTCTGAGTTCTAAGCCTTCAATCTGGCCTGCAAACTACTTTTGCAATAATAATAAAGTGATGTTATTGGGAGATAGGAATGAAGAAGGTCAGCCCAAAGCTTTTTGAATGGGAGATAACAGAAGAAGAAAGTGCATTACACCAATTTCATTGATTACATTATTTAAACCTAAATATGAGATTTGAAAGTGACCATTTTGCAGTTGAATTTCGACAGAATAATGTCAGCATATAAAGCAGACTCCAAATTGGACTTTAGGTTCTAAATACAATTAATGAGCCTTTGTTATCCAGTGTGGATTAGATAGTAAGATACTAGTCCAACTCTATGTAACTATTTTCACTTAGTTATATATAGCAAACAGCATTTTCTTTGCTAAATCCCCAAAAAGCTTTTGGTGAAATGGGCAACATATAAGAATAATAGACTTCCAGGCTTCTGGTTCTGGGTCACAGCAGTGTGGTCGATCAAAGGGAGTCATCCCTTTGCCGGCTGAGTTTCCTCTGTTGGTAGACCCCTGAGAGGGTCGAAAAGTCACTCTGGAAGAGCGACCACTATTGAGGAGGCTTCTCAGATGGTTGAAGAGGGGTGGCGGCATCCTCTGTACTCCGAGTATCTCTTTTGGGCCAACAGAGTAAAGATCGGCCAGTAAAATGGCCAATCATTTAGCTGTGCCGACCATAAGCACAAAGATCATCTAAGCAAACCCACAATGGAAGATTCGGTGAGACTTTTTTTTTACCTCTATTTTCTTTCTTTTTCCTGTGAAAACCCTTTTAATTTGGAATTATTTCCCTTTTTGAAGAAGCAGCATTTTAAATGGGGGAAGAGAAGCTTAAAATTATTTTTTGTTTTAATGGTTGGTTTTGTTTTTGGAGATCTGGGAGCCTCAAGAAAGTTTTTTATAGAGATTTAACATGCTGCATACTTGGAGAATATTGTTCTCCAGCATGATTGGATGGAGAACCCACGGATGGGTTGTCTTAATCTATCTGCTCCAATTAGACTAAGTCTGAAATTTTTGTACCACCCCGCTGTGCCAATTGCACCCCAATTTTAGACTTAGTCTCTTTGCTCTAAAGACGCGGTTTTCTTCGTTTTTGGAGCAGAAGACTGTAGTAATTTTTCATTCTTGTTAACTTAGATTTATTATTTCATTATTGATTATTTTGTAATTTGACCCTTTTTTTTTTCATTTATCGGAGTTCAATCCTCAAGCCTGACTGCCTGGCTGGGCTGACAGGCTGGGCACCTACGTGCCCTTCCCTTCAACTACCTTCTGAGAACTTTCAATAATCACAGCTGCGTTAGGAGCCCAAGGCTCTGATCAAACGTTTTCTCGACCTACCGCAGCTTCGGAGGCCTCCGAAATTCAAGCCGCCACTCTGACGATCGCCCTCACTGTCAGCTATTCATCGGACGATCCGTTCCAGCCTCACTGACCATCCGCGGCTTTGGAGATGATCGTCGGGGGGGATCCGCAAGCGGTGACTCAGGTCGTCAGGCCTGGAGGGATCCTTTTAAGGTCCCTCGGCCTCAGCAGATATTGAAAGTAAGGGGGGATCTGCAAACGAACACAGATCCCAAAGTCTGGAGGCCTTGTTAGAGTCCTCGGCCAAAATTCACAGCTTGCTGCCGGTTTTTCACACAGCTGCCCAGCTGATCAACCTAATTACCCTCAGCTGCGTTAGGAGCCCAAGCGATTCTTCAGAACGAGGGCTCATTGCAGTTAAGGCCTCAGACTTCACAGGCCTCCTCCTCAACGGCCCTTTTTGGCGCGCAGACGGTTGCAGCCGCCATTTTGAAACACCTTACGGTCGCCATTTTGATTATTCACCGAGGCCTAACTGCCTGCAGGAACATTCCAGAAGACAGTTTTCTGATGCTGGAGAGTCACTGTGCGAGTGACTACTGTCACTCGCACAGACCTTGATTAGATTGGGGAGGGCAAGCTCATTCCTGAAGGACGCACTGCCTACCAACCCCCACTGCCCCCCCGCCTGGATTGTCTCTGCTGGGCTCCCTCAGTGATATTACAATGCTGAGGGGGGGGCGTTTTTGCTGAGGTTGAGCCCTCAAAGTATATTCAGACATGGCAGAGAAGTCTACCAACGAACCGCCCAAAAGGAAACATGCAACTGAGGCAAGTGGAAGAAATACCTCAAAACGAGCCAAGTCAAGCAGGGAAACCACTAATCAACATATGATGGAAGAGGAGTCCCACAGATTGAGGGCAGTTTCCCCAGGTCAGACAGGCACCACAACAGGAAGGTCCATTTTTGAACCCCTTTCCTCACATTGT